AGTTCTCATAACAGCTCTTCTTGCATCAGCTTTTCTGACTCTGTTTCATTTGGTCATCTTTTTGCTGCTCTCTCTCTCACAGCTCTGCTCTCTCCTATTACTCTCTTCTGTCTCATTAGTTCGCCTCTGGGCCTCACATCTCCTGGCTTGTGCCCTTATTCCTTCATGTCATTTCTATGATGCCTGTGAATGTCTTTCTCTATCAGCCTCCTGCCATGCCTGTATCTGATACTGAGATAGGTGTAATTGCTGCCTTTATTTATATTTTTTTATTTGACATGGAATTATTAATTGAATTTTGATCTAAAATTTTCACTGTATAATATTTGATCTGTGATCACTACTGAATTAAATGCACTGATTGTTATAAAATAGGCATTCATTGTGTAAAATAAATCATTCTTTTTGTAACTTTATGATCCCATTTGATTCTTTTGTCAGACTAAAAGTTACCTATATTAATAATATAGGGTTTTGTGTGTGTGTCTGAAAGAGAAAAATATAACATTTTTTTGATCAGAAATTTGATATATTTACTGCAAAATTTGCATTCAGTTAAATCTTGAGATTCATTTTCAACCTTGAGCCATTTCCATTATGTTGGCATGACATCACAAATCCTCTCCTGTCTCCAGAACAATCTGAAGTATTGATTTTCGTTTTTTAACCTCTAAATAACAGCTGAGCTGAGACAAAATTCAGAGTCCTTCTTTAAACATCATTCACTATTTTTAATAAGTAAAATAGTTTGCTTTATTTTCTGTGCCTGTGTGTGATTCTGAAACTGCTCCCTGGTTACATCATTTCAACTTTTGGGAATATTTCTCAATTTTATTTTAATCACTAGCATTAAGTGTTCAGTGTGAACTTAAAACCAAAATGATAAAATATACAAAACTCCCCTGGGTTTTTATGTTTGGGAGACCAACCAACAGCCCTACAGTACCAACTCTTTGAAGAACACTATTATGGACATGGTGGTCAAGATGAACAAAATCCACCTGATCCATAAATGTAGTTGCTTCTAAAGTTTCAGTGTTGTCTTTGAGATGGAGTGTTTTTTCTTGAATAATTCTTCTTTTTGGAACAGTTATTTTGAATATTTATAGAACTTGTTGCACAGCCTTGATTTAACTTGTTAGGCAATCAGAAAAGACTTCAGATATATGAACAGACACTTTCCTTGGCAGTGAAACACCAGTGATTAAATTTGTATACTGTGCAATTGTTGCATTTGCAGTGACCAAATGAATAGATTTTTCATGTCTCATGCAAGAATTTCTGGTAAAACATTGCTTCACACAAGTCTCTCAGTCCCAGTATAGTCCATATTTGGTTCTCTGCAACTTCTGTCTTTTTTCCCCCTAACATAACATCTTCTTTGAAATGAGATTAAGGAGAATACATCAAGGCAATTGGTGACTTTGCAGAATTGATTGATTCTTTCATTTTTTTATGGCTTATCAACCCACTGCAGGTTATTTAAAGCCAGAAAATAGTTTTAGATTGTAAGATTTTTTTTTTTTTTTGAGATAATAATTTAGTGATACAAGTCTTATTAACCCATAAAGGCTGGGGGGAAGAAGCAATGGATTCATACCTTTCCCAAGGGTATTTGCATGTAAGTGAATATAACAAACACATCTTGAACCCAGACTTTGTACCAGTTAGCAGTACATCTAAGAAATTAAAAAATATACCTGTCTTGCTATTTTAGAAGTGATCCAAATAAATGGGCGGTTCAACTAGAATTTATAATATAATTATCTGACATAGGACAGCTAAGAGAATACTTTTGCTGATATTGAATTTTCTATGATTGATGGATTTATATTTTATTTAATAAGGAAGTGCAAGGCTAAGCAAAATTTAGTTGTGTAAAGTTTTATCATTAGATTGTAATGGTTACACAAAATGCTCAAGTTGAGCTTCATTAGAATGATTGCCTTGGTGCCACAATAATAAGGAAACTAACTGACTTTATATTGTTTGTCTTTTTTATTTTAATCCTTCCCACTTACTGTTAGAATCAAATGATACTGGGATCCCCTTTGGAGTTTACAGCTTTGAATTTCTAAGTTCTGGTTTTCAGGCTGGCACAAAGTCTTGGTCAGGAGGTCTTGGCAAATGATGTGGATTTCAGTAGCAGTAATATGAGGACCAAACCTTCAGCTTATATGGATCCCTGCATCCAACATGGATAGGGTTGACTAGGGTCTGGGTTCAGTTCTCTTCCACTCTTAGCATCAAACTTTTTCTAAAATTCCATATTCTCAAAATATATTTACTCAAGTGCTTTTCCAAATTTGGGCTTGTTCACTCCCCCGACCCCAAGAAGAGCTGTTATGAGTCCTTCTGAGAGTGACCAGAGGCACCTTAACTCCAACTTCCTTCACGCATCATATCACACCGTCATTCCATATCGGCAGTGCTCTCTTCCTTCTCCCACTTTCTCAGCATCCAACCTCAGCCCACCTCAAGGGCTGATACATTGTATTTGTGACAAATCCAACTTTCAGACGCACTGTAGGCAAAAACAAAAGGGATTTTTAGTCATTAATCTTTCTTTATCAGTTTGACCCATGCTGTGATTTCTCCATTGACCAGACCACTCAAGAATTGTCATAGGTTGGAAAGAAAATTATTCTCAATCTCTTTTGGGTTAAAAACAAAAGTTTATCATTCCTCTGTTTGTCTTTTTTATGATCAACAAGACCAAACCCTATTTGTTCATGATCACACCAAAATAGTAATTCATTTTTCTTTATCACTTGTATTCAAAGGAATCAGAATTCCTGTTCAATATATAATTTTTCTTGCTGCATGTCATAGAAATTATAATGAACAAATGTGTCAGGCTGGCCCCTATTTCTGTGGGGACACTTCTCTTCTGGATGGTTGATTCAAACCAGATATTTCTTTTTTCTGGCTTTTTTGTTCAGAGTGATCTATAAATGTTACCCTGCTTTCTTTATTTTTCTATTTGAAATCTTCACAGATACATTAATGGTCACTTTCTCATCAGCAGAAAGTGGTGAGTAGTCTTGGTTTTGCTCAATCTTACTGAATTCCATCTAGTTAAATTTGGGTTTGATTCTCCTTGTAATTATTTTGAAACATGATTTTTCAACACATTTCATCTTTAATTTTCTCCTTAATTTATCAATTCATCTTCCTAGGAATTTCAACAATTATCATCCAGTTAGTATATTTTTTCCTCTTCCTTTCCCTTTTTTATTTGACCAACCATTGCACCAGTAGATCCAAATGTCACATGATAACAGGCCAGTATTACTTTATCAACATGGAAGTAACTATGGTGATGTACACCAACTTCATGCCATAATCATAATCAATGAATGCTCTGTCCTCTTCCTAACAGAACTCAGGGTCAATGCCACTACTTACATCGAGGTACTGATAATGGTGTTCAAGCCCTGGATCAAAGGAGAGGTTGTAAATGTTTCTGCAGCACTCTCCTCATTCTCGCATAGCCCATTTGATAAGAAGTGGATGTCTGAGAATTTTCAGTCATGTTATCATGTGACCTCTTTGTTCTGATCTCGCTCTCCTGGACAACCATGTTTTGGGAATTGTCAAGGGAGAGACCAACCAGTCTTGTTGAATGCCATTATGGACATAGTGGCCAACATGACAGAGAACCACCTAATCTGGTTATATAGTTGCTTCCAAAGTTTGTCAAGGCTGTTTTCAAATTGTTTTTTTTTTTTTTTTTTTTTTAATAACCTTTGTTGAATGTATGTACAGATGTTTTTTATCATCTTGTCTTAACTATAATTTATTCACTGGTCAACTTTACATAATGAATGTGGGGATGTACAGATGTTATAGTAGATAGCAGCCTGGAATGAGAAATTGGAAAGCTTGAATTCCAATTGAGTTCATTATATTCACTTATGCACAAATGGTTGGCAAACCAGTCTAGGAGAGGGAAAACTGAATTCAAAACTATATGTAACCCTGGTGAAGTACATACTTTACAATTAACAAAAGGATTATGGAGTTCACACTGACTTTATAATCCCAACTACGGTCGATCTGATGATAATGATTTATATAATATTACAAAGTGGAGGTGCGGAGATAGTTACCAATAAAGAAAATAACAAACCAAGATAGAATTTGACTGATACTTTTTATATCTATTTGGAATTAATTCTCCTGAAAAAGGCATGAATCCACTGTCCTTTGGTGCTGAACATGTTAATGTCCAAATATTATAACCATGACCAATTGATCTATCAGCTTTATGCTTTCAACAGTTTTATACTTCTTGGTCAGTGCATATTAAATTTTTTACAAACAATTTATCCATTATATGTAGGTTGTGTAAATGTTATCAGTCTGGAAAGTAAAATTGGCAAGCCAAGTTCAAATTCCAACATCATTTGTTGCATTCACTTTGATACTAATGCACTCATGAAAGGTAAGAATCCATCACTTTCCCCAAATATGGATTAAATAGTAGATACTTCAAATTCAAAACCATGGAGAAGGCAATTGGAAACCAGTCTGCTATCTTCCCAAAGAAGTCATGGCAATTTCCATAGATTCTGTTGAGAACCATGATCATATATCATCAAATGACATAGAATGGGTGGTGGGGGGCAATTTATTGGATATTCTTGTTTTAATCCATTCTTCTCCCTGGTCAAATAGCAGAACAGTCTGGGCTCTCTAGCCTTAGTTAGCAACCAGTCTAGGATTTATTGATTGTTTCATTTTTCATGATTTATCAACCCAGCTTATTTAAAGCCAGAAAATATTTTTAGATTGTAAGAATATTTTTTTCTAGATAATAATATGTTAGTGATACAAGTCTTATTAATTAACCCATAGCTGGGCGAGAAGAGATAGATTAATACCTTTCCCAAGAGTATTTACACGTAAGCAAATATAATGAACCCAACAGGAATTAGAACTCGGCTCTCTGATTAACAATTCCAAGACATTATTCATTACACTCCTGCAAATCTAAGCTTACATCACCTGGTATTCCCAAGCAGTCACCTATCTAGGTGCTGACTATGCTGAACATTGCTTAACTTCAGTGATCATATGGGAACCAATATTTCAATGTGATATGGCCTTAAGCAACCACCAGTTAAGAGAAGGGTAACTCTGAATTGAAAATTATTTGGACATGAGGCTGGTAACTCCACCCTATCAAAAGTTTTTTGTTTTTTTGTTTTTTTTAATCAGAAACCACAACAATAACAAGAGAAGTGAGGACTTGTTTTTCTCTCTCAAGCTGTAGCAGATATGCAGGCAGATACTTATATAGACTAAAATTATTGTTTACCTTTTCTAAATACTGATTTAATCACAATGTTACTCTTGTCAATGACTTCAGTTGTACTTTATCTATACTTGGGCTTCATTTATAACAAGTTGTACCAACAAAAGTGACCTTTTATTAATCACACTGTCTCATCAGTAATCTCATATTTTGATTAATATTCTTGATATCAAATATTGTATCACTAACCACTATTTTGTCCATCATACGCCATTAGTTTTACTTTTTCTTTTTTTAATACACTCTTGATAACAGTATTTGTCAACAATGATAGAATTTTAGACTCACTATCCAATACTCTGCTATGAAAATTAGTAACTAACAAACAGTATTGTCTCATCAGAAAATAACAAACCTACTAAACTTTGCAAATATGTTATTTGATATGTCTTGTCTTCTGAAAGAATGTTCCTGCTTCATATTGTTATTTGAAGCAACCTTTTTAAGTGAATTGATATTCACCAACATAGATACAACCAAAATGCTTGCCATTCTTGGTTTTTAAAAAATCTACTGTCTCAGCCATTCAAGCAAATTCTGATTCACAGACACTGTCCTTATTATCAGTTTACTTTTTTATTCATGCCATAAAAATGACAGCATATTTCTTACAATTATTAGAATGGTTTCACATGCAAGTCTTTAAATACCTTTTCCAAATTATTATCTTTATTGTCAATGCAAGAGAGATAATTCTAATACAGCCATCCAAGGCTACAGAACCCAGTCTGTCCTGTTATTTACCCATAGCTGGGGGGAGGAGAACAGGATTCATACCTTTCCCAAGGGTATTAGCATGTAAGTGAATGTAATGGATTTGACTGGAATTCAAACTCGGCTCTCCGATTCCTCAATCCGAGCTGCTATCCATTACTCCACCGTGCTTCTCTCTCTCTCTCTCTCTCTCTTCTCTCTCTATTATATATATATATATATATATATATATATATATATATATAAAAATCCCAAACCACACAAAACTTATCATAATTTAAAATTTCATGTAATGAAATTATCATCAGATGTTTCAGCAAATGGGAAAAAGAATTTTAAAAATGTGAGAAACAATAATTGTGTGTGTATATATATATATATATATATATATATATATATATATATATATATATATATATAGTGACCTATTTTCCTTAATTCTGTTTCAGGTTATTAGGAATTATGTTTTTTCCCTGTTTTTTCAATATACATTTCTGTTTTTGCTTCATTTATATATATATATATATATATATATATATATATATATATATATATATATATATAAATTTTATTCCTCCCAAAATCCAAGTTCTTGTGCCAGACACAAAAACTTAGTCTAGTAGGAATAGTAAAATAGTCTAATAGGCACAGAATTATTAACCAAGACATCTACTGCATAAAATTTTAAAAGGAAAACACATTTATTTTATGCAATTACAAAAACAGTTTCAAATAGAAAGGACTACCCTTGAAAAATGGAAAAAAAATTATAGTTTGGGAAAAGACAAGGATTTTGAAACTGACAAAAATAGAAAACAATACAAGAAGCGAATAAAAAAAAAAAAAAAAAAAAAAAAAAGGTGCAAAAACCTACTTTCTACTTTCACTTTCCCCATGAGTGTCTCTGGGACATATAGTAATGTGAGAAAAGTCGCTTTTTACTTCACACAGTTTGTGCTTGGGAAAAATTATTAGAATTCTTTTGGCTGTCCAACTACAGGAGAATTTTCAATTAAACTTCAAAATTCTTTAGTCTCTGTGCATCTGGCCAGTAACTGATGCCTTCTTTGTTGTTGACCTGCTTTGTCTCCTTGCTGTCAAAAAGTCTTCTCACATCTGAGATCTATTTATTCAGAAAATTAGGCTCACATAGGCCCCACTATTCAGGATGTTACTAGAGCTTGTGACCATGTCTCTCATTGGTCAGTATATGCAAAAAAAAATAATTTTCCATAAACTGGAAATGGATCTTTCACAAATCTGGCAGGTTTCAACCTCTGAGCCCAAAAAGATATACAATTGTAACAATTTTTAACACAAAACATCTGGCCTTCATAAAAATACACTTCTCTCAAAGGAACATGTATTAAACAACCTAAATGGTTAAACATACAAGGCTAACATTTTTAAAATAGTAAAAAATAAAATTTTTATATATAATTGTAATTAAAACAAGAAAATAAAATGAAAAAAAACTTTTACTAACTGGAATAAGTTGCTCCAGCTTGATAGGGTTTTGTACCTCATACTTGATGAGTTTCTGGGACAACTCTTTCATAGAATGCTACAATCCTTAATAAGAATTAAGTGAAAGTGGCAAAACCTGCAGAAAATTAGTACCACAAAGTCATCTAGAGGCAAAAAGCTACATAATCGTTTTGTCATTTTATTGAAATTATTAAATAAAATTTTTGAAAAGTTTTCATTTGTAAAATTTGGCTTTCTGAAATGACAAACTGTCCCCCCACTCCATCACCATGTGATAGGAAAACGAAAGGATAAAACAAAAAGATGAAATCTTTGACACATCTCCCTACTACCACCACCATTTTTTAATTAAATCACACCAACATCGTGAAACTTGGCTCCTAAATTTTGTAAACTGTTGGGAGACAGTAGATAAGGGGATGTATTAAAATATAATCAACTTTATTCTTTGATGTCTGTCAGAGAGTGAGTTACAAAAGGTGAACAATAAACAAATGACAGTTGAAATCTGTTTGTTAGAAAAAGAAATTTCCATTTCAAGTAAGCTAGTCCATTTTCCATCTTCATGAATCATGAAAATAGGACTCTCTCTCTTATATATATATATATATATATATATATATATATATATATATATATATATGAAAGGAAAATTAGGCAAAAGTCTCTCAGAGGACAAACACGTCAGCTAAAATAAGTTCTCTTTATTCATATTGTCCTTTTATAGATATACTCTATTTGAAATCGTTATACACACACACACACACACACACACATCCTACAGGGTGTGGATGCTGAAACCTGTAACTAGATTTGCCAACACAGGAAAAAAATAAAAAAATTCTTAACATAAATCTTAGATCTGTTATTTTACTCTTCGTACTTATTGTTCACTGATTTTTATATATTTATGTCGACAGTGAGGCCAACACCCAGTGACAGTCTGTTTCATTCTCAAACACAATTGTTCAGCTTGACAATTACGTTTAAGCATGAAATGGTCTTTTGCCACTGGGTGTTGGCCACAATGTCCACTTTTATATTTACATACACTCTATCCCTGATATTGAGCACTTTCTCCTAAATACAGCATACCTTAAAACTGTATTTTATCATATATAGTTTATGGGTAATAATTTTACCATCCTGAAGAATTATTTAGAGATATTGAAATAGAATGTCAATATTTTGTTTCATTATCATTAAAAATTGGTAAACCAATGCTCTACAGGAAGTGTTCTGAAAGTTTTGAGCCCAACATAATGACATGTCAGCAGGAAAAGAATTATTTGTTTATTTAATTATTTTATTTTTCAACAAATCTTGCTTTCACAGGCCATTCTGACAATGGTTCATCTTCAAAAGATTTCCTCCCCTAGCAACACTCAGCAGCCTGACATATGATTGTTCCACACAAAAAGCAGTCCTTATGGTAGACATTTTGCATACCAATTATAGATTTCCTACACTACAATCTGCTCAATGTTACTGCTGTTTAAAAAATCAGAATAAGAAATTGTAATATAATTACAATCTTTTATTCTGATTTTTGTCTGTCATCATCAATTTTTTTTGTTGCTTCTGAAATGTAGATAGAAAACAATATTGAGAACAATGAAAATGTTCCAATTTTCAAAAAACAGTGTGTATGTGTGCAATATATTGTGTGTGTGTGTATATATATATATATATATATATATATATATATATATAAGCAATGTATTATGCCAATCAAGTAAAAACAATATTGTAAAAGAGATCATATTCAGGCTCAAAATCTTTTGACACTCCTTATATATATTTTTTTTTTTTTTTTTTTTTTTTATTATTTTCACCATCTCTATGATGATTATGAAACAATGCTTAGCGCTATTCATTGTAATTTGCATCTCTTTCAAGATCCACGTATTCAAGTATATGCAAAATAAACTGAATATTTTCTTATATTGACATTTAATTTATTCCAATTAGGACAGCAGTGCTTGCTGCATACATTAATGGCAGAAGAATTATGTGCCTTGTAATTTTGCAGGGTCAAAAAAAAAGAAACAACAAGTGGGTGTATTTGCCCATCAACTGTTGGAATATTTAGTCTATATATATGTTTTTGTTGTTTAGATGTGCATGTTTATTTATTTTAAGCTTTCAGTGTTTGCAGTATATTGCAGCTTTAATCTAATGCTTAGTTTTATATCAAACCTCCTTCTCTCGGCTTCCTCTATATCAAATCTTATTCTAGGGATTGCCTCGTGCATATCAAAACCTGTTCTAGTACTTGCCTCATACCAAGCGCTTCACTTGGCTAGCACTCACCTTGCCTCTTGGCAATTTCCGCACTCGCCTGGGCTCTCAGCAAGCCCCGCACTCACCTGGTCTTTTAGCAAGCCCCACACTTGCCTGCCCCCTCGGCAATCCCCTCGAACTCGCCTGTCCCCTCGGCAATCCCCCCGAACTCACCTGTCCCCTCGGCCAGCCCCACCCCACACTCAAGTAGTGAGTTATTATGCAAGTCCTATTGATCAAAGTCTTTAGAACATTGAATCTCTTTCTCTTTTTCAGATGAGAATCGCTGTATGATTTTCTTGGATAGTATCCAAGCAAGTTGCACTTAGTAATTCCTTTTCTAATTAATACCTCATTGAATTGCATAACAGATTTTATTTTTGAAAATCATACATTAAAGACCCATATTAATATTGAATCATATATATATAATACTGGCAATACAAACAATTATCCATATAAAAACTGATTCCTTTCCTCTTTTTACATCAGGTAGGGATGTAAATAAAACTCACTATAGTAGCAATGAACCACAAAACTAGTTTTGAAACAATTACTCCACATTTCTTTCTCACAATGTACATTATCTACTAAAATTAGTCTGACACAAGGCCAGAAATGTTGGTCATCTAATGAGGATTAAATTCATGAGTAGTAAGAGTCTGTAAGACTAACTTCTTATTTCTCTTCGGCAAAGCCCCTCATTATCTACTAGCACAAGACCAGAAAAGTGGGGCACCTGTTAAGGAATGAACTCATAGTAGCAATGGTGTGTGAGATTAGCTTTCTAACCACTGCTTTCCAGAATGACAAAATGCTACAGAATTGACAGGAACCAGAAATAGTAAATTATACAGAATTTACAAAACCAGTCCAAATTTGTTGACTGTTCATGGTAAAAATACTAGTCTTTTCTCTTAAAGGTTATTCTGTGTTTATCATAAAAAAAACCAAAGATCCATTTCTGAACATTATATTTCATTGCTTCTTAAAACACAAAAACTTAAAGAAATAAAAAAAATCATTTTACTATCCTCTATTTTGAATTTGCCTACATTTTTTATGATGAAATAACAATGCTACAGTTGATAGGTTTAGCATTGTTAGAACGCAAGTGGTTAAACTTATTCACTGAATAGGTTCCATGGTAGCCCAACTCCAAGCCAAGCCACATTAAACTGCATGGATGTCCAAGAGATTTTCAATTGCAATCATTCAAAACAATGCTCTTGGCTTTATAATTTTAACCTTAACAGTAAAGTTAACTGGATCTAATAATTGACCAGGTAATATCATTATAGAAGATAGTATTTATATATTTTGATGGAATTTTTAATTAAATTTAAAAAAAATTTTAATCTGATATATTTTCATTGCTTCAAACATTTTAGTGGATACCCATTTTGGATGCAGACATTCCGTTTTTTTTAAAAAAATTTTTAAACCATGTTTATTTTGGCTTGTGCATTTGAGAAAACTTGAAGAAAAGTATGCCCTGTGTAGGAGGAACCACCATCTTATCCAGTGTGCTTTGACTGCTCAGCTACAGAGAGTTTTACAATCAAGCAAAGTTCTATTTACTTTTAAAGAACAGTCACTCATTTAGATTTTCTCAAAAGTCATATCTGCTCAGTTTTGTATCCAAAATGTAAACAAACCAATTTTTAAAGAATTGATGGATTTTTAAAAATTTTTTTCTCTAATTACTTTTTGTTATTTTAGTGGATACTCATATTTGAGTAGTCACTCTCTTTGGTGGGGGAGCAAACTGCTTGCATACTCGATAAAACTCAATGAAGAAAATGTGCTCTTTAGCAGGAGATTTCAACTTGCATTCCCCTTTGCAGAAGAAACCACTGTCTGATCCGGCATGCTTTTACTGCAAGAATTTTTTTTTTTTTTTTGTCTGGATATGTAGATTTTTTTTTTTTTATACCAATAGAAATATTTTAATTCTCAAACATAGCCAGCACATTGTGATTATATTGATGATAATAATAAATAATAAGAAACAAAATCTACATATTCAGACAAACAAAAAAAAAAAACATCCTTGATAATGGTTAATAGATTAACTAAAAGCACTTGAATTCAAAAATCATTTAGACAACTCTGGTTAACCAGATAAGTCATTTGAACTCTTCTTATTTTATTGAATATTATAGCTCTAGTTATCTAATCTATATATAGGATGAAGAAGGTAGTGTTTCATCACAGAATATAGAATTGTTATTCAAAGTTTATATCTAACACTAATGCTCATGGGAAAAGTTTGAATACATATGTCCTCACTCTGTCCTGTCACTAGCATCTTGTCACTCACATACTTTAAAAGTTGACAGTTAATGAGTTTCTTAGATTGAAGCATTTTCATAATCATTAATTTTAGACTAGTTTATCTTTCACCTCATTTTTGTTGCTTTTACTCAAAATGTTTTCATTACATATTCTTGGGCTGTACAGGGATCAGAAATAAAAATGTATAAGATGGTGGAAGCTAAACCATTCTGAAGTTAATGAGAATGGTTAAAAATTAATTTCTACCTGTTTATATGTACAACTGTTGTGTTTTTCTACCAAGGATCAAAGTGTAGTATCTGCCCACTTATGGAGTTGGAATCTATACTTTTTGACCAAGAAAGTTTATAGAACATTTAGATAAAAAAAAAACATGAACAGGCAACAGATCATTAAGGATAAGGGGGATAGAATGAATAGTTAAAGGCAAAGAGTGAAAAAAGAGTAGACCTGAAAATAAGAGAATTTTAGTTGGTTGTTTGCAGAGGTTCAGGTATTTATATTCATTGTACAAGGTACATAGTTCTTTCTCCTCCCGTCTCTATCTCTCTCATTGAAATTAATTTTATCCCTAATAAGGAAGATGTACAGATATATTTATATAGATATACAATTTCCACATGAGCAATTATAGGTCTTTCTCTTAAATATATAAAATCAATCATGAAGCTATATATATATATATATATATATATATATATATATATATATATACACACACACATTTTTCCATTTCTTATTGAAATTAATTTTAGCCCTAATGAAAGTCTATATCAATATGCACCCTATATATATATACACACACACACATACACAATTGCTGAAAACTCCTGAATGCTGCTCTGAACTATTACAAAAAATGTTCATGTATGAAACTTAAGGTGCTGAATATAACATCAATCAGCCAATTTACAAAATTTAATTTAAATTTATCATTTATATATATATATATATATATATATATATATATATATATATATATATATATATATATATATATATATATGAGAGAAAATCTTCCAAAGACATGAGAATTCATAAACATTATTTTTACATAGGATGGATATTTTAGGTGCTCCAGTATATAAGTTATTGACCCTGACAAATACCTTAGGTTAATCATTTATTACAAAAAAAAATCAAAACATCTGATCTAATTCTTAGAAATAATACAATAGCTCAGAAATTTTTATATATATATATATATATAATATGTGTTTGTATGTCTGTATACATTTCAGTGAAATTGATTCTATTTAAAAGAAAGAAAACTTATATAAATTTGTACTTTGCATACGTATGCACATTTGTGTACAGACACACACTCTTCCTCTTACTCTTGCTCTCTAATGTTGCTTTCTCTGTTCGAATTTAAACACGTTGAACAACAATAATTTTTAGTAAATGCTGTAATTTATTTTAATTTTTTTTTTTTTTATTGTTGTTACTTTATGAATTTGCTCTTTGACTGAAACTGTTTTGCTGGATTATCAAACTTGATGCTTTATACTATTTTTTGCTGAGTATCTGTATGCCTAAGTACGCACACAGATTTTAATTGATGCTTCTTTCTCTTCTCTTTCTAGTCTTACATTGTCAGCCTCCATTTTTAGCTTGCCTCTCTCTCTCTCTCTCTCCTTACCTTTTTCTTTCTGTATTTTTCTCTTCTTGTGTGCTGCATGCTCATGCTCTTCTTTTCTCTTTTTTCCTGCCAGGGTCAGATGTATAATTTTGTAAGTATCCCCCCACACAAGCATTCGCATTCTAAGTATTTCCTAACATATAACCACCATACAAACCAGCCTAAAACATTGCCATCCTCAATGACAGTAACCCAAACACGCTGACAGTAATGTTTTATCATTTTCTTTTTTTCTTTTATGCAATATTTTTTCATTTGAAAAATGGAAGTCTATATGGGTCTTATCCACAATCCTATAAATGACTCGGTTAATGCATTTACAATGACTTAAGGATACAAAGCAATAAATTAAATTCAAAATAACACCACTATTAGGAATAAAAACTAACTGTAAAAGAATTGAAAAATTTTTTTCTATATTGAAGAGTGATAATTTGATTATTTCACTTATTTCGAACTCTTTAATTTTTCTTTATAAAAGATATATTAATATTGAGTCAATAAATTTATATATATTTTACTACTGTAAAACTGGAATTTTAATATCTTGTTACTTTCAGTAGTTTTTGCTATATAAGTTTGACATTAGTTTTTTTTTTTTCAAATGGTTTTATTTACAACTAAAAAGCTGATTTTGAAAAATTAAAATTTCCCCCTTTTTTTTTTTTTTTTTTTTTTTTACTACTATAACTGAAATTTCATCAATTTATTTTATAGCTTATTTTCTGTTTTCAGTTTTTTCAGTAGTGCTTTTGAATTGCATAAAAACACAAATTTAATAGTTGCAGGAATACATAAAAATCATTTTCTAGTTTTTGATGAAAATATTAATTATCTAACATGAATATATTCTTCTTATACATCATGTTGGTGTGAAATATTTTTTGCTTTTAGATTTTTTTAAAATTCCTTATTTTTTCAGTTAGTTTAGTATCTTATTACAATTTAAATATATTAATGTATGAAAAATGTACATGCATTATCATAATATGAGGTAATATAAAGAAATTGTATTAGTATTTTACTTGTATAAATATTTCTGGATGAGAAAAAACAGAAATAAAAATATTTGAATTGGAGAGGAATGCTGTGAAAATACTGCATTAATTCTTGAGGCCTCTGAACAAGGTTTTGCATGAAATAACTAACTCTTTTAAACTAATTTTTTTTTTTTTTTTTTTTTTTTTAAAGCATCTCATTTAAATTTAATCCATTGTACTCAAGAAGCACATAAAAAAATTGAACTTAATGCGTCATTAATTTTTATTATTCTACGAGTATATTATCTCTCAAAGATCATTGGATTAGTTATATAATTTAGTATAAATTTTAAGTCTGTTATTTTACATCAAGCACTGTTTTACTACCACCAGCACTCACTCTGTGCTATTTTATAATATATGTCAAGAACAGTTTCAGGGGTTTGTTTACATTGATACGACTACACATGTGCATGAACGAGAGATGCTGGGAATTTTAAATTTAGAAAATTTATATATATAGTTTAAGTCTGGTAGTTGAATATTCCTAAATTCTATCTGTAACTGAAAGAAAATTCTGTAGAGTGGCTAGGTAGAGAATTAAAGGCTGAACACGTGTGTGCACACATACATACACACACAGTGTAATGGTTATCATCATCGAAAGTGAAACCATCAAGCCAATTTTATTCACTATGTTCTAATGCCTTTAAAAAGGGCATGAATCAGTCTTCCTCCAGCTATGGGTTAAATATCATAGCAGACTGTGTGCTCTTGTATTGGGTGGTAGCCAGTTTAGGAGAAGGTAAACTCTGAATTTCATGGTGCACTGTCCTCAAATCTTCTGAAAAGTGGGGTTGATTCTTCACAAGCTTTTATGACTATAATCAAATTATCTGTGTGGGTAGTCTAAACTGAATTGTTCGGCTTTTATATGATGACTTCGTCTGGAGAGTATAATTCTATGTAAACACACATATGAAATAAATTTGTTGACTTAGCATGAAAATTTTAACTCTTAGTTTCATGGCATCAAATCCACTCTTCAGGAGACTTGTTACTGAATGTGTAAGCTGGCCTAAAATAGCAAACCTGACTCAACTGGCCAGAACTCTGATGATCTGAACTGAGTTGGGGGTGGTCAGTGTGAAATTCTAATTTCATAGATTGTCTTTGCTTAAATTTTAATATAAGATCAAAAAATGTGCAAAGGCATTCAGTATGTTTGTGAGAATGGAAGAATGAAGATTCCTTGTCACTCTCAAATTCCTTTGTGAGACAGGCCACCACATAGTTGGCCAACCTGTTGTTATCCATCCTTGCTATTTTCCTCCTTCTTCCTCCAAAAACAGTGCTAAATAAAGTGAGGAAAGACAGCAAAAAAAATTGTCTGTTATTTAGTCAGTCTATGATGTGGTGGTGAGGCTTGAAGAATTGCCAATAGATCATGAGAAGTTGATGATGACATGAAATACAACAGATTGGATTGTGAAGAGGGTATGTGATTCTGTAAAATTCGGTTAAGATTTTGAACAGCAAAGTGAACACCTTTATTATTATTATTATTGCATATATCTTGATATCAACCACTCTTTTTACAAAGAACATACTTAAATATAAAAGTTGACACTTAGGTCAAAACTAATCATTCAGATCCACAATTAATTCTACTCAATAGCCTCAAGAATAATTTGAGCTACATAACCATTACTGCCCACCCAATAATTGTCAGTGTAATACAATAGACCTTATTACCCATAAGGCACCACTGACTAGCATATATAAATAGCCAAAACACAACACACGTGGCCTAAAACTGTTCAAATTTGATCTCTGCAAAATTATCTTTGATCATTTCAAATGTGCTATAAATTGCATATACCTTATTTTACTGAGCACTTCCCTGTGACATAATGTTTAATCTAACAGACTGATACTATTAGTAAGTTCACTTTCCATTAGGTGACCCATACTTATGATCTTGTGCTTGACTAAACTAAGCTTAGTAAATACCTACAATTCATATTCTTTTTATCTCTTTAGTACAATGGATTACCCTGCATGTAAAAAGTGACTGAAACTGACATGACTAATTATTTATACCTAAAAACAAAAATCTATTTTCAGGTTAGATTGGTTGGTTTAACTCACCTGAAATGGTACTGATTGGCATGTTTTAATTATTTTTTAATCTTCAGTTTTTGTTTGATTGACTTCACTTAATTGTAAAATTGGTTTTCATTACTCCTCATTGAAAAACTGAGTTCTAGGTTTTACCAAAGCTGCTCTGTAGGCCTCAGAATTAATCGGGTGGAATTTGAATTGAACTTCTCAGCATTGTTCTCTTACAGAAATTGTGGCTAGAATACTTATGTAAGTATTTGTCTGAAATCCTGGGATGAGTTGCTCAAACTAATATCCCCATCCTTATTGTTTTTATTTTAGTCAGTATATTCTTAAAAAAAAAAGATACAATGCAAATACGCAACTGGATGAACCTTTCTTTTGAAAAAGGCCAGTGAACATATCAGCCATAATATAACAAAAACAAAAAAATTTAGTTCAAAATAATTCGGGCACTCTTGCACATTTATCCAAATTTAGTCTGGTTGGTGATTTTTAATTAGACAACATACATCTATCAAAACACAATATGCAGTTACTACAAGGATATGTAAAAAAAAAAAAAAAATATTATCCGCAATTTTGCTATAACAAAGCTTTAGGTTTGTCACACTGCCTTCTGCTCATGTGTGCTTATAGTTGGTACTGTTGTGATCAAAGTTTGACCTTGATTGTGCCAGTTTTCTAGCTGCTGTTACAGTGTAAACATGGCTGCTCCACTAGCAGTGTGCACCAAGGAGGAACAAAGAGCAGTGATCTGAATCTGCAGAGAACATGCTACCTCATCAATGATAATTTACTGGGTTGCTATTACTATCTCTCAAGTTTGCTAGATTTTCTCATCATTGATAGAGGTTGACAAGCATCTGGCTCCTTCTTCAGGTATCATGCTTGTCTGGGCACTGTTGACATATTGTGTTAAAAGCCTGTGATGAATTTCATCTCTTGACCAGAGAAGTTTGATCACTGCTCTTTGCTTCCCTATAGTGCACACTGGGCATGTTTACATTGTAAAAGCAGCAATAAAACTGGTGCAGTCAAGCTCAAACTTTGATCATGTGATCACAATAGTACCAACTATGAGCAAAAGGCAGTGTGATAAAACTAAAGATATGTTATGGTGAAAGTGCAAATCATTTTTGACTTACCCTTGTATATTTTTAAATAACTTTTTTAATTTTAACAAATATTTTCTTAGTCTAATATCCATAGATTTGTAACATAAAATATACAAAAGTAATAAGAAATATATCAATGAGAATAGTCTTTAAATAATGCAGCAGTACTTTATATCATCAGTCAAAAAATATTATGGTATTTAATATAATACTTTATATGGTATGTATATATATATATATAATGAAAATTAATGACAAAATGGAAAGATTTTGTCTGTTTTATCCATTACAACTTCCTCTGACAAAAGTGATGTTTCCTTTGATGTAACTACGCATGTGCATGATGGGGGAGGGGATACTGAAATTTTAAATTTATAATAAACTTTTAATAATTTTTTTTATTAAAAGAAACCAAACGAATTTTGCTAGATTATATACCTAAACATATGTGAAAAAAAAAAAATTCAAAAATTTATAGAAACATAACTATAGTCCTGAAGGACAAAACACACTACACAAAAATTTTTCTGACATTATTCTGATATATAAAAATTTATATATCATCTTCTCCCCTTATATATATATATATATATATATATATATATATATATAGTTGCTAGAAAATTCTTAGTTCAGCAAAAGGCCATCATCTCCAAATGTATATTGTGTATTTGATCAAATTGTGGAAGAGCATTAAACTGAACTTTTCAACCTCTCTTTCTTTATGTGAAGGAGCATTAATGACACATGCTCACTCTGTTAATGCAGTGATGTCTTGTGCTATATATATATATATATATATATATATATATATAAGAGAGAGAAAAATAGACAAATATACACACTACTCTGATACCTGATTATTAAAATAGTTTATATGTAATGGTGTGATACAAGAAGGAAAGGATGAGGCACCCAGTGAGAATCAAACTCACTACTCAGTCGTAATTGTTCTAGCGAAACAAGTTTGCACCACATCAGGGTGCCAAAGTTCATACATATGTATGCTATTACAGTGATGTATTATTAGTTATATTCATGTAATGCATTACTCTAATAAAACACTTTATATTAAGATGATGTGCTGTTGTTAGTGTATATAACATCACAAAATTAATGTGTGTTTGGATGTATACAGATACAGGTTATGATATAACAATCACGTGTATTACTTTAGAGCATAGATATACGTCATGGAACTGATCTTAAGGTCTTATAATTTCTCAGTTTTCAATACTTTTAGTTATATAAAGCTCCCTCAAAATTATATCCTTTATTGTTTAACTGGCATATATTATTTCTCATAGTCATATCTGTCTTACATTTCAATTAAAGAAATAAGTTTTTATTACAACTGGTATTTTTTATTAGAAAGATAATTTGTATTTGTTATGATTTGTACAATGGTGGATCAACAAATCCATAGCCCGACAATAGCTGAATTTTGACCTGAATTTTTTATTGTTGATCTATGTAATTAACATCACCAAATGAATTAAATGGATTGACAACGAAGAAGATTGCCAAAGAATAAATAAAAAATAAATGCTTGTTTTCATAATTAGGCTGCAGACTCATTAATGAACCTATATATGGGGTAAAAACTGTTGATATCTAGTATAGACTGTATATAAATATAAGCAGAGTGGACATTCAGTTCAATGCCTAATGGCAACAGTTTGCTTCATGTTTGAATGCATTCTGCAGGCCTGAAGATTGCGTTCAACTATGAAACAAACTCTTGCCATTTGATGTTGAATTCTGTGTCTACACTACTTATATATAGGCAGCATATCTTCATTCAAACATGTTTGGTTGAATAATCTAGAAATATTATGCCTATTTCTTTTTATTTTCATGCGCATTTACAAAAAATTCACAACTATCTATTACATTAATTTTTGTCTTAGCAATTCACTCCTGAAGATGATCATGTATGAGATTGAAAGTATTTGGGAAAATAAAAGTATTAACCAAAACTACGGCGTCTTTCTTAATCAGTTTTGTAAGAGCACTAAAAATTGATCTGTGAATTTGAGAGAATTAAAATAAAAATAGACATAATGTCTAGATTTTCAACCAAACATACATACATACACACACAACAACACACACACATATATATATATATATATATATATATATATATAATATATTTTGTCTTAATCAATTAATCCTCTGGCTGCCACTCAGGCACTGATGATTGCATCTGCATGAAACACTATATTTACACATGCTCTATCTCTGATATTGAGCACTTTATCCCAAAATATAGCACATCTTAAGACTATATTTCTTCATAATATATATATATTACATGAGATCGATAAAAAAAAAAGCAAAAAAAGGCTTTAAATTTGATTAAAATAATTTTTTATCGTATAAATAATATTATTATCAAGAGGAATGATCAAAGTATTTTTTGAATATTTTTTAAAAATTTTTTAATAATTTCTATATCCAAAATTTTCAAAAATCTTCAATTTTTTTGAATCGGAAAAATCGACAGACGAATAATCTCCCCCGTTGTTTTTGATGTTTGTTTACAAAGTGAATGTTGCCGTTTAAAATTTATTTAAAAATCAATTATGATTTTTTTAACTAATTTTAAAAATTAGAAATTAGAAAGTTTATTTAGTATATTTTGAAACAAAGATTGCTTATTTTCTGTGATGAAAACATGTTTTTTTTCAAATGGGAGAAAGCCGATCTGAACTGTGGTGTTGATTGACAAATGACAAGTATCATGCTGACATATTACATAGTACAAGGTGTGAAGTGACAATTTATCTTTACGTTAACAACTTATTTACCTCGTTATTTTTAAGTAGTCATACCATGAAAAAAAAACTTAAACTTGATATTTTATTACCAAAATGTTTTATGTTACTATTATAATTTTTCATTATTTTAAATAATTTTCTGTCTTTATTAGAACGTTTAACTTTTGATTGAAAAATCTCATTTCTCGTCATCACGGAACTTTAGTAAATAACATGGCAAATTTTTTTGTTCATTTTTTTTTCTTATGACATTAATTTTGAAAATCTTGCAAAAATAGAAATAATTGTCAGATTTTAAAAAGAAACTTTCAGGAATGATGGAAATTATTATAAATTTTTTAAAGTAATTTTATATAAATATAAAGGCCGTTAACAGTGCCGTACAAATCAAATCCGCGTGATGTTTTTATTGGATCATGTTTCTTCTGGGCCTCCGTACATTTGATTTAAGATTTTTTTTTTTACACATAGGTTAAAGGACAGTAAGATTATTCTCATTGCTTTTTCGTTGATTGTAAAAACCTTGTACTATTTATAATCTGTACAGATATAAGTACCTAAAATAGCATTATATACAGGATTCGTCAGTACCGCTAATTTTAGAATATTTAACAACTTTTTAGTAACTTTATGTAAAAATAATAAAATAATTTATTAAATAACAATTAATTCATTTAAAAATTCATTTTTCATCAAAAAGTTTTTTGCCTTCAGACAATATTATGCATATTGATAAAAACAAATAAAAAGCAACTAAAAGCATTTAAAATTAAATAGTATTTTTTTGTTTTATTGGGTTTTTGTATGTTACAATTCAGAGCTGATTTTACGCGTTTCACGTGTTGGATTTTTTTTTTAAGAAAACCTGATTTACTTTCCTCAAAGCCTTGTGTTTTATTAATATAATGACTTCCTGCTTCGTCCATAAACTTTTACAGTTTTCTTTAATTCATTTATGGGGGTTGGTAATATGTATAAAAAATATATTTTATAATGACTTTAAAAAAAATAACATATTTATAATAATTTCCATCATTTCTGAATAGTTTCCTGAAAATTTCATTAAAATCTGACAATTATTTCTATTTTTCAAGATTTTCAAAATTAATGTGTGTCATAAGAAAAAATGCACAAAAATTCGCCATGTTATTTACTAGAGTTCGGTGATGACTAACAAGGTTTTTCAATCGAAAGTTAGAATGTTGTAATAAAGACAGAAAATTTTGAAAAATAATTAAAATTACTTTGTTCTTTACTCTTACTCATAACATAGACATTTTGGCGATAAAATTTTGTTTTCCGTCTTTTTCATCAGACTATACGCTTTTTTTTAGCGATCTCTGCATATACCTAATATATATATACTGCTACTGATCGGCATTCACCCTGGGTGGATTGAGCGGCTTCTTCCTGTTATGAGAAGAAGATTCTTGGGATAAATTACAGAAGTAGGTACCGGCCTACTTTCTGGATAGCGTTCTTGCCAAGGGGTTCCCACAGACGCAGAGAGACAGGAATACCAGGAAACAGACGCCCTTTTTCAGGGTTAGGGTGTGTCGACTTGTCCGCCTTGGGTGGCCCTACCAGGAACAAGTTCCGGGGTCATAAACTCTGACACTACCCCCCCCAACGACTGTGAGGTAAGGTTGGACTTTGGGGGCTTACAGTACCAGGTGTTCCCAAAGCGGTCCCCCATCTAAGTACTGACCTGGCTCTACGATGCTTAACTTGGGTGATCGAACGAAGATTTAACCGTAAGCTATATATATATATATATATATATATATATAAAGACATTTTTTATGTTTATATGTTCTTTTTATAGATACAAATATTTTCATAGAAAATATGCATACTCTGAGGACACATATTTTGTATGAAAATTTCTCAGGCATTCAGGCCGGTAAATGTTGTTTAATACTGTTTATTATAAAACAGCATTTACTTAAATATTTGTATCTATAAAAAGAATGTATAAACATAAAAAAAATGTCTTAAAAAAAAAAAAAATAATTGTCGGACTTTGTCCATTTCATAATATATATATAGTCATCCAAAGACAGACTGTTTCACTATATCACAGCTCATCAGTGTGACTAGGCATGTGATTACTTCAAGCTGGGGTCAAAACACAACTGATTTGACATCAGTTGGAGTCTCTCACTCATGGGCAAAACGCAATGGAGAAAGGGAATTTTTAATGCATTATATAAGCATTACTGGCTACCAGAGTGCTCATCACATACTGATGAGCTTTTAGCGTTAATTAGCAGCAGCTGACAAATTCCCTTTCTTCCAAAGTGCTCAACCTATATATATAATATTGCACCTTGAGTGCTCTTGCTAATGAAATAGTGCTCAATGTATAATAACAGAGCTATAATTTATAATATTAATAAATATACATTTTTTTTCACCGATGCACAATGTAATCATTAGATGTTAATTCACCTAATGATTGCATTGTGCATCAAGCTCAATTGTGCTATCAGTGAGGAAAATAATGTACATTTATTATATATATAAGTGTGTGTGTAAGTGAGATATTTATTCAGTTGTTATATAAATTTGTTTTTTCTTTTTTTTTTTTTCTATTTATTTTAATCCTCAAATTCATCTACAATTTAACACATCAGTAATATAAAAGGATAAAGAGAAGTTTTAGAGGAAGAATAGAACTAATCAAAAATCATAAAATGCAGCGATAAAAATATTTTATTTGTTAATTCAAATAACATTAAGAAAATAAATGAATTTATCTGGCAACCAAATAATTATGTAAACCTTCCCTATGTGGAGATATATAGAATATCAAATCAATCAGCTAATACACACACAGCCCTGAAAAGTTCTTGACATGACCCATTTCCCAAAATCTGTATTTGTATCTTGGTAACTAAACAGCAGAATATTGATATTGGGGAAAACTTTTCAGCACCCCCCCTTTACACACACACACACACACATATATATATATATATATATAGAGATTACAATCTAAGACATGTTAATACAAATAGAAATGTTCAGTTAAATGCATTGACATGGGAGGAAATTATGTTGTAAAATATTTAATATGCCAAATAAAAAGCCTTTTTTCATCATTAGGCTATGGATTTACCTCTGTACATATCAGATGTAAAGAACTTGTGTCATCAATTCTTTTTAAGTCTCTTCAAAATTGTCAACCACTTCGTAAAAAAATTTTTTACTTTTTTTTTTTTTTAGTTAAATTTTCTTAATGAAAAGAAATTGTTTTATCCTTTTTCTAGAAGTACATTATAAATAACTCTTCAAAAAATTTAGTGAAAGAAATCATGTAACTTTACAGTGAAATGATCAGTTGTTTCCTTGCTAGAAATCTCAGTTTTATCTGGATGAGTTCCATTTTATTTTATTTAATTACATAAAGCATTTTTACACTTTCATTTAAAACATTTTTGCATTTTTCAATATGGCTTCCTTTTTCTGTCACAAACAAGAAAATGAAACTCACCAAGCAACAGCTTTCCCTTTCCCAACTTTTTTTTGATGAGTAGATAGTTGATAGTTAAATATGTTTATTTGTTTGTAAATATATTTCTTAGATGTATGGATTTTTTTTTGTTGTTGTTGTCTCTATTCCCTGCAGAATTTAAGGATTGTTTGGATGTTGTTTGCTTTTATGAATGTATTGTCTCACTTCTATTGTACCATGTTTTAAATATATACATGAAACTATATGTATGTTTGAATTATTGACTAGTATTTGTTTTTATGAGGAATTTGAGTATTTAATAAGTTAGTAAGTTTGATAAGTTATCCAGTGTAGATAAGTAAATATTAATCCTATTCCAAATGTTACTTGATACATTTGAAGGTGTATTTATGTATGCAAACACCTGCTGGTGTTTTAGGTGCTTTATATATATATATATATATATATATATATATATATATATATATTTTTACAATGGTATTTATTTCCAGTCAAGTTTATTTATATTAGTTTTTGAAATTTAAAAAATGTTCTTGCAAAATAGAGTAATTTTATCTACGTCATATACACCAGCAAATATACATGAATATTTGTGTGTATGTATGTATGTCCATGTCTGAACATATGTACGAGGAAAGTACCAAAAGAAGTGTATGGGGCATTTGTTCCTCAATTTTCAAGTGTATATTGATATTATTTATATATAATATAGAGGTGTCCTTCCACTCCCAACCTCACTTACAAGTGATATTAATCAAAACCCATTTGAGAGACTGTTAACATTTCTTGCAAATAACTCTGCAGCCATTTTGTTATATGAAGAAGAATTAGTTAAATTTAAGCCTATAAGCAGACATCAACATTTTGGACAACTCCTAAATCTTAAAGAAGCAAATTTAAAACCTGATCATAAGATAAAGTTGTGATGCTTGTTTGCAAGACTTCAGGGTACAGAGATAGTTACTAACATGAAATATATATAAAAAATATCTTTATATTTCTGGAGGAACAAACAGAATTAATTGGTGGCACCACCTCATATAATCATAGATATGTGTATATATATTTATGTTTGTGTATATGTATAAATGTTATAATTTGTGTGTGTGTGTGTGTATGTAAGTGTGTGTGTGTGTGTGTGTGTGTGTATATATATATATATATATATATATATATATATATATATTAAAGATCAAATGTGGATCAGAATTCGATGGGATGATAAAATAAAGAACAAATAGGAAACGTATATCAATCTAACATATTTTCATTAAGGCTTCATCAGAGATTTAAAGGAAAAAAACAGAATCACTGGTATTTTCAATTATGTTTGGGTCAGTTCTCATAGATCAGACACTTGTCACATGCATTAAAACTTTAGAAAATTTTCACAAATTTATATACACATAGAATTATCTACAGTTTTAATAGACGTGACACGTTTGACCAATGGGAACTGACCCAAACAAAATTTTTTTATCTGTTTTCTCTCAATCTCTGCTGAACCTTTAATAAAAGTGAAATGTTTGACTGATATACATTTTCCTATTTGTTCTTTAATATATATATCCTTCGTTTTAAATATTGCTTTATTAATCAATAACTTTTAAATTTGGCTTCTTTTTTCTTTTTTTTTTACTTTTTTTTTTTTTTTTTAACAGTTCAAAAATAATAGTGTTTTATTTAAATTTGTTAGGCAGTACAGAGGCATTAATTATATAAAAGCCTGTATATTAATATTATTGTTTCTCCTATTCCAGTGTCCTGGCAAATATTGGTTATTGTACTTATATGATTCACTCATTAATTAATGATTGTTGTTATTATTATTATTATTATTATTATTATTATATATATATATATATATTTTTTTTTTTTAGCTCATCAGAATTATTTTCTCTTTTGAACGTTTAGCCAAATCTTCTTTGGCCTTTTAATTTAATTTCTATTGCTAAACCAAACAGTGCAATTTTAATTAAGCATTTCACACCCCCTATCCAATAAGCTAGTTCTTAGATTTCTGCAATTTTTTATAGCATAACTTATTTAGATAAAATTTTAGAGTTGATTGCCAAGGACCTTAGATAATTTCTTTATATTGTCTATTCATTATAATTATACTGTTTTGAATATTTAAAAAAAAAATCCTTTTATCACAAATCACAATTTATTATTTAAATTCTACACTATCCATTTTTATTCTGAAATAAATTTCAATGGACAATTTTTAATATTTAAAACCTTTTTTTATTCATTTGTAAGAATTAAAATATGAAATTATGTGTAACTTTTTGATTCATAAAGCAATATTGTCTGACTCTGAATTTTGTATTGGAGCCCAATTCTGTAGACTTAGTTTTGTAAATACATGACTATTATGTAATTTGTTTTTGCTAGCTGGACATGAATGGGTTACAACTCAGTAATCTATAGGGACAAGTATCCTCAGTTTCCATGATATTATCTCAATACTTATTGTGTTTGCTTTCCATCTTTGTTCACTACAAAGATGAAAAGCTGTTGTCGAGCATTCAACTATTTTTTCTATTTCTTTGCAGTTGTCTCAAGCCCTTGACCTATTATGAATAAAAAGCAATGCTATCAATGTAAAGTCCACATGGACTTATTTGAAAATAACTTAGGGAGAAGTTCTAAAAAAAGCAAATCAACCAGAATATATTAAATTATATTAATTGCTCTCACAAATACTACTATGTGAATCCATGATATTTGAAAGCAAATTAAAATTTTATTAAGAATATGAGAAAAGTCAATTGAGGTTCCATCAGTGTAAAAGAGATGGAATGCAAAAAAATATATTACCATGGGTAAGGATTTTTTCTGACTAAATGAAGGCATTGAAGCATCCTCCCATTTCTTTTACATGTGTACCTGTTTACAAGAATTTAATGTTCTTCTGAAAATCAATGTCACTGAATGGTTTAAGAAAGCAAAATCTAAAACCTATCCCCATAGCTTGGTTTAAAAAAACAAAAAAAAACAATGCCTGTGTACTTAGTGGATGATTCACACTACATGACCTTTGTAATATTGTACCTAAAAATTATATTTCAATTGCTTAATGTCTTGTGTATGAATTAACTTGTAAGGACAATTAATAAAACAATATGTTCACTAAAAAAAGAAAGAAAATATATATTACATATGAAATTAAAATCTTCAACTCTACAGCCTGGACATTTTGACCACTCTGCTGACCTAAATGTTCTGGTCTCTTACTAAACAAAGATTGTTAAAAGGCACCC